ACTGCACCACAAATGGTGAGGTAGTTACTCCAATTCTCCGAGTACCAGCGATTGAAGAGCGTCTCCAGAGCAAGTTTGGACTCAGAGTACAGACCGTCGTTCCCAAAGGTGCCGTGGTTCGGAGACAAGGGAAGGATGACCTGTGCCGGTCGAGTCTCAAAGCCATGGGTCTGCTTCTGGGTCTTGATGCAACCCAGGAGCCGCAGAAGGTTGGTCAACATGATGCGATGGGCAAGTTCAGATTTAGAATCGATAGAGTCGATTTCCCGGCCATTTTCCGGAATTGCGGCAAACGGCACGACAAAGTCCAGGTCCCAGCCGAGACCCTTCTTTGTATCGTAGATATAGTCAACCAGAGCTTCCACATCCTGCTTGCTGCCTTGGTTGAATGGCACCACCACGAGTTGAGAACCACGCGCGCCATAACGAGCATACATGGCTTGGTAGTATTCGGTGACTTCCCGGGAGAATCGGCTCGTTGTTACAATCACCTTGGCACCACCGCTAATCAGGCCTTGCAGAACCTCAGCTCCAATAGAGCCAGCACCAGCACCTGTCATTAGGACATTCTTGCCCTGGAAGGTCAAACCCGACCGAGAAGCGGACTCGAGCACGTCCAAGTAGATACCTGTGAGCTTCTTGTTGTATTCCCACCCGTGCTCATGCTTCTTCTTGAGGTGCAGGAAAGGTATAGTTTCCACCTTACCAGCTCTAGGGCTGCCATTGCGCTTGACACCGCTCCGACCAGCTTTCTTGGCGTCGCCATTCTCCTGTGGCATGATTTGGTTCTCATTCATGCTGAGAGCGCGAATGACTTCCTTGTAAAGCGCATTGAACTGAAGCTGGGATGATTTGGACATGCGATGTTGCTTACGAATCAGCTTGTAGACACTCTTGAGGTCATTCCGCACTTTGGTCCGGTTACTGTATTCAGAGATGGGACCACCCTCAGCCATCTGCTTGACGTAATGCTCCAATTTCCTGGCGCTCGCCCGAGGCACCTCCTTGTAGGCAATATTGCCTCGGGCGTCGATTGTTGTCTGGGGCCCGGTGGGGATCGCAACGTCCTTATAGACGGGGGCGACTCCGAGAACCTCCTTGCAGTTCTCGATAAGTTGCTGTCCCAGCTCCTTGGCGAGTTGATACGTTTCGCCACGCTCAGTAGGACAATTGTCGATGTGATACTGCATAAAATCAAGTAGGAGAGGATTGGAGCGGTTCATGATACGGATACACTGGCTGACGATTTCACGGTCCACAACCTTGAGCCTTCCAAAGATAATGTCGTAATACATGCTCAAAGCATCCTGACGAGCCCAGTTCCAAGACGAATCATAGACGCGAGCCTTTAGTGAATCGAAAGCTGGCTCAATACCAGACGCGTACACGTCACCATGTTCTGCTTGCCAGAGATCAAGCTGTGCTTGCAGCGCATTTTGAGTCTCTTGGGAAGTGATGAATGCCTTCTGGCCCGCACGCAGGTCCATCTTCAAGTAGCGCGCAATGATCTCCAGTTGCTGCTTGAACAGTGCCCGTTGATCTTTCGTCAGAGCATCGATGGCGGCTGGGTCCATGAGCATGCCACCAGCACCGGACCCACTGTCGCTGCCAGCCGTAGGAGCAGAGAGATTGATTCCTGCATTGGCGGCATATTTGTTGGTAACGTCGTCGAGGTATGCCTTCGCATCCGGCTCCGACCCAATTCGGGAAGGAGGCTCCATGGTGAGGGCAAGCAGGAGGACGCCATCTTGCCTACCGGGACCCAAGCCCCATCGTGTTTCCAGATATTTCCGAACAGCGGTAATGTTGAAACCTCCGGGCATTTTGGACGAGACTAGACGAGCAATGAGAGACGAGGACTGCTTGCCCAATTGGCCATTGAATGTCGCCTGCATCGAGGCACCCAATTCATCCAAGGGTGTGTCCTCAGGTTTCTCCGGCGTGGACCCAAACTCCTTGCCCAAGTCTCCCAGTATCTCATTCTGTAACGTGGACTTGCCTGTTCAATAAGAGATAAAGATGATGAGTTCCAAAAGTTCAGTTGCATCACGAGTTTCGAATGAGGGAATTGAAACGTACCTCCAACCAGGTCTTTGATGGCTTTGCTGAGAGGAACGTCGGATAAGCCCTTCTTCAACTTTTGTGCGACTAGTGTCCGGAGCACATCTACCGCCGTGACCGGAATATCGTCGACTGCTGCTGCTGGTCCGGCGCTAGGAGCGGGGGCAACTGCGGTAGGAGCTGGAGCTGCAGCTGCAACTGGGGCAGCAGGGGCTGAAGCTGCAGGTGAGGCAGCTGGAGCCTCTGCTTCTTCTTCGACAGGATCCACGTCGTAGTAAATTTCCTTCGCATCCTTGTTGTAGCAGAGAATTTGCCGCTGGACCGAAGTGGCAGCGTCATACGCTTCATACTTGGACGCGAGCGTCCTCCTTGCCATTCCCCCCAATGTGTCGGCGGGTCCGATTTCCACAATCCGCTCTGTTCGCTTTTCTGCAAGAATGACATCCTGAGTTTCGATCCATCGCACCGGGACGCAAACTGGTAAGCCAAAAGCTCAACCAGTAAGGTGTGGGCGAGCTCTTGTTCAATTTCAGGCCGCATGACTGGAGAAGTAGGTATCAACTACGATGAAGAGGTGAAAGGTATAGGCGGAAGCGGATCACCAAATGCCCGGAAGCACTGATCAATAAGGTGAAATGAGTTCGTAATACGGCCGTTGCTCTGCGAGCAAATGCTTCAAAAGAAACCGACGTCGACGGCCACCGACGGAGGAATGGGACTCTCAATTAATAACTAGTAATTTGTATAAGGTAGTCAACAACCTTGGACTGAAATGACCGAAGTTAGCAAGGGTTGAAAACAAAAAGAAAAGGGTAAAAGCAAAGTAGGAAGAAGGGCAAGGTGATGCTACAGAGAGAGCATACTCTAACGTCCCTCTGTTTAGAATTTGAACATAGATACGGAGCGGTTGGAAATTTTGTCGGCAATGAACTACCTTAGAATAATAGGAACGGTAAAGATGGTAAGAAACATGAAACTCACCCCAGCTTGGAACCGTACCATAAATGGTGGGGTACAGTAACTTCTTCAATGCAATTAATTACCCAGAAAACTCACGTAGCAGTGAAATAATTGTCAATTTTGACAATTGCATAGAGTATAGAAAAGAATCAAGCTCCAAGAAATTGTAAGAACAAGGTACCTTAGAAATCACTATTCTATAAATTACAGATGGAAGGGAAAACAAAAGTGTATTAGAGTACTCCATAGGTTCCTACTATGAAATCTGTTGTTCAATGGATGTTCGAAAATAATGTGGATGAGAAAAAGACATTAATTACCGAGTACTGGTGAGTATTTGGTGAGTGTTGGGGCGGCTTGGTTGACAGGGTGGATCGCTTCTACAGTACTAGTCCACAGCCAAGCTAACCTGCTAGGAGCCTAGGACAAAGTAGACAGAGCTTCCTAATCCTATATTAATATTCTACATTAAGGTACAGAGTTTAGAGTAACACGTCCCTTACTCAATCTTTCGACGGCCTGGAACTAAATCGTCAATGGATAGTACTAAAGCCAGCCATGTACCCCATAGGGCATATCTAGATACTGTTGAACTACAACCTATTGCCTGAGGTTTGGCGGGAGAATGCCGGAGAAGTCCGCAATGGATAATATATGGGCTATTATTAAGTCGCAATCAAGTAATCTGTACATGTATAAGCCCTTCAATGGAAACACGTCTATCATTAAGTATGATTATGGACATTGTACCCTACCGCTTCATCTAGTACCTGGATTTACTAAGGTGGTATCTAACTGGTAGGTAAGCTTCCAACATTTCGAGCCGCACCAACCACGGTACAAATGATACTACCTTGAAAAGATTTATTTCAAGAAATGGCAGAGGTCTGTAATTATTTACTACATAGCGAAGGGCTCACTCATAATAAAAATGATATTGCGCTTAATAGAGTGATCCATCTATAGCCTATAAGTAAATTAAGAGATTCTTAGGGGAATAGTGAATCTCATACCCGAACCTCTCTACCATATACTACTCAGTGTACCATAAGATAGTCGGCTTGCCGTCGAGTCTCATCCTGGCCGATGTCCTCTTCATGTCGTGTCATGTATTGTCACAACCTTATCGGGTTCAACCCAACCATTTCCGTTGGACCTTTGGGGAGGTTATATGACCCGCCATGCCTCATTGGGCCACTTCCAATTCAACCAGCCCCAAAATCTCGGCTTTTTCCCTCCTCCTTCCGGCCGGTTCAACATATTGATGTGTGCAGGGATCTAGCCCGCTTGTCTGACATTATCATTTCGGGACATCTTGTTGGATGACGGACCGTATTGTAGGTACACTAGTAGGTACTTACCAGAGAAAATCTACAAGGTACTACCTCACAGAGTACAGAGTACGGAGTAGGAAATTCATAATTTGGATTTGGACTGTACCTAGGGAAGACCTAGTGCGTCTCTCCATCAATCTTTCTTGTGGCCATTTCCAGAATACGGACGCCAAAGCTTGAGACTCTCTGCAGTCTTTTTTCTCCCTCCCCCCCATCCCGCATCTACGTCCCTTCTTGACTCTGCCAGTGACGGGAGTATTTTGTTTTATGCTCCTTCGTCTCAATGCTGTAAATCTTTTAATTCTTTCTTTACCACGATTTATTGTTCCCCTGATTCTCAATTTCTTCTACTTTCTTTCAATTACTGGACGACGATCCAGTTAATGTGAAATCAAAGCTAGCGTCATCCAGCATTGCAGACAGTTTTTGGAGCAACAGGTAAGCATTGACCAGACCTCCGGTCGTCCTCTTGATTTTTGGTTGGGGAAGCGTACAAGAAATAAGAAATACAAAAAGTGTCAGCTGTTGTTCAAATAATGGACTGCAGGAATGAGCGAAAGAAGAGACATACCCACCAGCTTTTACTTGACTTTCCTTTCTGATATCTGTTCAATTGCAGAATCCCGTTGTGTCCGCGCGAATTCGACGACCATATTCGGCTCCATTGTGATAGACACAAGAGTACGATAAAATGTACGGAGCATCGACGGGCCCCCAGACGGGCATCAACACGCCACGCTCCTCACAGTCACTGCGGCCACTTATTCTGACTCATGGGTCACTCGAGTTTTCCTTCCTCGTGCCTACATCCCTCCATTTCTATGCTTCACAATTAAAAGATACGTTTACGGCATCCCTCCCTCAACCGACAGATGAGCTTGCTCAGGACGATGAGCCCTCGTCGGTGGCCGAGCTTGTAGCACGGTATATCGGCCACGTTGCTCGCGAGGTCGAAGAGGGCGAGGATGATGCACAGGGAACCTGTCTGGAAGTCCTGAAGCTAGCTCTTAACGAGTTCGAAAGAGCCTTCATGCGCGGAAATGATGTCCATGCCGTGGCAGCCGCTCTTCCGGGTATTACTGCCAAGAAAATCTTGGTTGTTGAGGCCTATTATGCAGGAAGGGCCGCCGCTGGACGGCCCACCAAGCCTTATGAATCTGCACTATTCCGAGCCGCCTCCGAAGAAAAAGCCAGTATTTACTCAGTCTTCGGTGGCCAGGGCAACATCGAAGAGTACTTTGATGAGCTGAGGGAAATCTACACGACTTACCCGTCTTTTGTGGAGGATTTGATCTCTTCATCCGCTGACCTATTGCAACAACTTTCCCGCGAACCGGAGGCCAGCAAGCTCTATCCCAAAGGACTGGACGTCATCCAGTGGCTTCAGGATCGGGACTCCCAGCCCGACACCGACTACCTTGTGGCAGCTCCTGTGAGTTTGCCATTAATTGGATTAGTCCAATTGGCCCATTTTGCGGTTACCTGCAAGGTTCTAGGTCGGCAGCCCGGTGAGATTCTAGAGCGGTTCAGCGGCACTACAGGTCACTCTCAAGGTGTGGTCACCGCTGCAGCGATTGCCTCGGCAACAACATGGGAGAGTTTCGAGAAAGCGGCCAAAGATGCCTTGACAATGCTCTTCTGGATTGGTCTTCGCAGTCAGCAGGCTTACCCTCGGACTTCTATTGCCCCGTCCGTGCTGCAGGATTCGATTGAGAACGGGGAAGGAGTCCCAACCCCTATGTTGTCCATTCGAGATCTGCCGAGATCTGCTGTCCAGGAACACATTGATACCACCAATCAGCATCTTCCTGCCGATCGTCATATCTCTATCTCCCTGGTCAACAGCGCTCGTAATTTTGTGGTCACTGGACCACCTCTGTCCCTCTACGGTCTCAACCTTCGCCTACGCAAAGTCAAGGCTCCCACTGGCCTGGATCAAAACCGGGTTCCGTTTACGCAGCGCAAGGTTCGCTTCGTCAACAGATTCTTGCCAATAACTGCGCCATTCCACAGCCAGTACCTCTACGCAGCGTACGACCGTATCCTCGAGGACCTGGAGGACATTGAAATCTCAGCTAAGTCCCTTGCGATCCCTGTCTACGACACCAAGACGGGCGATGATCTCCGGCAAAGTGGCGACGCCAATATTGTTCCATCCCTGGTTCGCATGATCACCCACGATACAGTCAACTGGGAGAAGGCAACTGTCTTCCAAGGGGCCACTCACATCGTCGATTTCGGGCCCGGCGGTATCTCAGGTCTTGGTGTTCTTACGAACCGCAACAAGGATGGTACTGGAGTCCGAGTGATCCTCGCTGGGGCTATGGATGGCACCAACGCCGAGGTCGGATACAAACCTGAGCTGTTTGACCGCGACGAGCACTCTGTGAAATATGCCATTGATTGGGTCAAGGAGTACGGCCCCCGTCTTGTGAAGGACGCAACGGGCCAGACTTTCGTCGATACCAAGATGAGCCGTCTTCTGGGCATCCCTCCCATCATGGTAGCCGGTATGACACCAACTACGGTACCCTGGGACTTCGTTGCCGCAACAATGAATGCGGGATACCACATTGAACTTGCTGGGGGTGGTTACTACAACGGAAAGAGCATGACAGAGGCCATCTCCAAGATCGAAAAGACCATTCCTCCTGGCCGTGGTATTACTGTCAATTTGATCTACGTCAACCCCGAGCTATGGCTTGGCAAATTCCCCTCATCGGGAAATTGAGGGCCGACGGTGTACCCATTGAAGGCCTCACAATCGGCGCTGGTGTTCCTTCCATTGAAGTCGCCAATGAATACATTGAAACCCTGGGAATCAAGCATATAGCCTTCAAGCCAGGCTCGGTGGATGCTATTCAGCAGGTCATCAATATCGCCAAAGCCAACCCGAAGTTTCCTGTCATCCTTCAGTGGACCGGTGGTCGTGGTGGTGGTCATCACTCCTTTGAAGACTTTCACCAACCAATTCTACAAATGTATAGCCGCATCAGACGGTGTGAGAACATTGTCCTAGTCGCTGGCAGTGGCTTCGGTGGTGCTGAGGACACTTACCCTTATCTCTCCGGAGCATGGTCTTCGAGCTTCGGATATCCCCCGATGCCCTTCGACGGGTGCCTCTTTGGTAGTCGCCTGATGATTGCCAAAGAAGCGCACACATCTAAGAATGCTAAGAAGGCAATTGCTGACGCCCCTGGTCTTGATGACAAAGATTGGGAGAAGACTTACAAGGGTCCTGCTGGCGGTGTGGTCACTGTTCTTTCCGAGATGGGTGAACCCATTCATAAGTTGGCGACAAGAGGTGTTCTGTTCTGGCACGAGATGGATCAGAAAATCTTCAAACTTGACAAGGCGAAGCGCGTGCCAGAACTCAAGAAGCAGCGTGATTATATCATCAAGAAACTCAACGACGACTTTCAAAAAGTATGGTTCGGCCGTAATGCCGCTGGTGAGGCGGTCGATCTTGAAGACATGACGTACGCCGAGGTGGTTCATCGTATGGTAGAACTCATGTATGTCAAGCATGAATCGCGCTGGATCGATTCCTCTTTGAAGAAGTTGACTGGCGATTTCATCCGTCGTGTCGAGGAACGATTCACCACCGAGGAAGGGCAGGCTTCTCTGCTGCAGAACTATTCCGAGCTCGATACTCCTTATCCGGCAATTGACGACATATTAGCAGCTTACCCTGAAGCGGCTACTCAATTAATCAATGCGCAGGATGTTCATCATTTCCTTTTGCTTTGTCAGCGGCGCGGACAGAAGCCTGTCCCATTTGTGCCGGCACTGGACGAGAACTTTGAGTATTGGTTCAAGAAGGACTCTCTTTGGCAGAGTGAGGATTTGGAGGCCGTGGTTGGGCAAGATGTCGGAAGGACCTGTATTTTGCAAGGTCCAATGGCAGCCAAATTTTCTAACACCATAGACGAGCCTGTCCAACAAATCCTGGATGGTATTCATCAGGGTCATATTAAGGGTCTTCTCCAGGACGTCTATGGCGACGACGAGTCCAAGATCCCTGTCATTGAGTACTTCGGAGGCCGGCTGCATGAAGCCGTCAGCGAGTTAGACATCGACGGGCTCACAATCTCTGAAGATACGAACAAAATCAGCTATCGTCTATCATCCTCTCCCTCAGGCGATCTTCCTGATCTTGACCTGTGGTTACGCCTCCTCGCTGGCAAATCATACTCATGGAGGCACGCTCTCTTCTTGGCAGACGTCTTTGTTCAAGGTCACCGTTTCCAGACAAACCCGATGAAGCGGATCGTCGCACCCACCCCGGGGATGTACGTGGAGGTCTCGTATCCAGAGGAACCACCCAAGACCACCATCTGTGTGAGAGAGCCTTATCAATCCGGCAAACTCGTCAAGACTGTGGAGGTGAAGGTCAACGACCAAGGACAAATCAGTCTCACACTTTACGAAGGCAGAACTGCAGAGGGTGGTGTTGTGCCTTTGAGCTTCTTGTTCACGTACCATCCCGAGGCCGGCTATGCACCCATCAGGGAAGTCATGGATGGTCGCAACGATCGCATTAAGGAGTTCTATTATCGGGTCTGGTTTGGCAGCAAGGATGTCCCTTTTGACACCGCTACCACGGCAACATTTAGTGGTGGTCGGGAAACTATCACTGCCCAAGCTGTCGCTGACTTTGTGCACGCTGTTGGCAATACTGGGGAAGCCTTCGTTGATAGGCCCGGAAAGGAAGTCTTCGCCCCCATGGACTTTGCCATTGTTGTCGGCTGGCAGGCCATCACCAAGCCCATCTTCCCTCGGACAATCGACGGGGATCTTTTGAAACTGGTCCATCTTTCGAACGGATTCAAAATGGTCCCTGGTGCTCAACCCTTGAAGGTTGGAGACGTGTTGGACACAACTGCCCAAATCAATGCTGTGATCAACCAAGATTCCGGGAAAATGGTTGAAGTATGCGGTACTATTCACAGAGACGGGCAACCAATCATGCATGTCACCAGTCAATTCCTATACCGAGGATCGTACCTGGATTTTGAGAACACTTTCCAGCGCAAGGATGAGGTTCCCATGCAAGTTCACCTTGCTTCAAGCAGGGATGTTGCAATTCTACGGTCGAAAGAGTGGTTCCGTCTAGACGAACCCGACGTCGAATTGTTAGGTCAGACTCTCACTTTCCGTCTCCAGAGCTTGATCCGGTTCAAGAACAAATCTGTATTCAGCCACGTTCAGACAGTCGGCCAGGTGCTGCTTGAACTTCCCACAAAGGAAGTCATTCAGGTTGCAACAGTGGACTACGAGACCGGAACATCTCATGGTAATCCGGTCATTGACTATCTTCAACGCAATGGTACGTCCATAGAACAACCGGTCTATTTCGAAAACCCTATTCCGTTGAGCGGAAAGACACCCCTCGTTTTGCGCGCACCGGCATCCAATGAAACATATGCTCGGGTTTCAGGCGATTACAATCCAATTCACGTCTCTCGTGTTTTCTCTAGCTATGCCAATCTTCCGGGGACCATCACACATGGCATGTATACCAGCGCCGCTGTTCGCAGTTTCGTCGAGACCTGGGCCGCTGAAAACAATATCGGCCGTGTTCGAGGCTTCCATGTGTCCCTCGTCGGTATGGTCCTCCCCAATGATATGATCACCGTGAAGTTACAGCATGTTGGTATGGTGGCCGGCCGTAAAATCATTAAGGTTGAAGCCAGCAACAAGGAAACAGAAGATAAGGTTCTTCTGGGCGAAGCCGAAGTCGAGCAACCAGTAACCTCCTATGTCTTCACTGGACAGGGCTCTCAGGAGCAAGGAATGGGTATGGAGCTGTACAGCAGCAGCCCAGTCGCCAGGGAGGTTTGGGATCGGGCAGATCGTCATTTTATCGAGAACTACGGCTTGTCCATCATTGATATCGTCAAAAACAATCCCAAGGAGCTCACTGTCTACTTTGGTGGTCCCCGTGGAAAAGCCATTCGCCAGAACTACATGTCGATGACTTTCGAGACAGTCAACGCGGATGGCACGATTAAGTCCGAGAAGATCTTCAAAGAAATCAATGAGGACACAACATCATACACATATCGGTCGCCGTCTGGATTGCTCTCTGCAACTCAGTTCACGCAACCGGCACTGACACTGATGGAAAAGGCAAGTTTCGAGGATATGCGCTCCAAGGGCCTCGTCCAGAGAGATAGCAGCTTCGCTGGTCATTCCCTGGGTGAATACTCCGCTCTCGCCGCTCTTGCGGATGTCATGCCTATTGAGAGCCTGGTTTCCGTCGTGTTCTATCGTGGTTTGACTATGCAGGTTGCTGTCGAAAGAGATGAACAAGGACGTTCGAACTACTCTATGTGCGCCGTCAACCCAAGTCGCATCTCAAAGACATTCAATGAGCAAGCCTTGCAGTACGTCGTTGAGAACATTGCTGAGCAAACAGGTTGGCTATTGGAAATTGTCAACTACAATATCGCAAATATGCAGTACGTTGCTGCTGGAGATGTAAGTGTTCCCCCTTTCTTCCTTCTCAATATCTCCGCATTCTAACTTCGACAGCTCCGCGCTCTTGATTGCCTTACAAATGCGCTCAACTATCTCAAGGCTCAAAACATCGACATTCCAGCATTAATGCAGAGCATGTCCTTGGATGACTTGAAGGCTCACCTTGTCAAGATCATTCATGAATGTGTCAAACAAACCGAGTCGAAGCCCAGGCCTATTGTCTTGGAGCGAGGCTTCGCCACTATTCCGCTGAAAGGAATCGACGTGCCTTTCCACAGCACCTTCCTTCGCTCCGGTGTCAAGCCTTTCCGATCCTTCCTGCTGAAGAAAATCAACAAAACTACCATCGATCCGAGCAAGTTGATTGGCAAATATATTCCAAATGTCACTGCCCGCCCATTCGAGATCACAAAGGAGTATTTCGAGGATGTGTACCGACTCACAAACTCTCCTCGGATTGCCCATATCCTGGCAAATTGGGACAAGTATGAAGAGGGAGGTGAGAACACTTCACGCGCCACAGGCACCACCACTGCCTGAAAAGTTGAAAGGAGATGCTATTACAGAGTCCTGGCCTTTCCATGCTATGCTACCTTAGCGTTAGGTTCTGCTTCTTGGTGCCCTCGTCTACACATCTCGTATGATAGCCCAACATAATAGATTTCTGTATTTAGGTTTAATGACACTATATTTTTGTTCTTCATATGGTCTGTAAAGCGTGATTATATCGCATTGCTCCTCACTGGCCACTGTGTGAGCTGCATTCGCAGGACCAAACCGAAAACCTGAGAGTCATCGCTCATCTCTACACGGAGTAGTTTGGCCGAGTATGGCAACGCTCTAAAACATTATATCGCCATATCGACAAATTAAGTCCCAAGTCAACACTAGCGATTGTACAGATCTTATGCAAGCGGTGACGAAAAATTGCTCACTCCATGACCACACATGTATGTAAGAAAGGGAAAAAGTAAGAATAGCCTTGCGAGCGCTCGATACTCATGTTGGAAGACTGCAGGAGTGTGCATTGGGCGCGACTCGGCGATAGACCCTCTGAATTACAAAGGTCCTAGAGAACAAATGCGTCTCAGCGTTGTCGGAGTCTCATTTATCTCTGACCATCCTTCAGTACACCTGGCCGCAATAGCCGGTCCTCTTTTCCGTACACCCCGACATCCTTGACTATTGCAATGAATTTGCGGTGATTCTCCTTCGACTCGCCTATGCGAGGCCGAAAAATTTTCAGAAGATCACTGCTTAGTATACCTGTTTGAGGTATGGCGGCATGGATTTCTGCTGGAGTCGGGAAGCTTAGAGTGACGGAAGGAACCGGTGTAGAGACGCGATTTTGCCCTGCATGCATAAGTTAGTTCTATAGGCGGACAGGCAGCTGTGAAAACATGAGCATCTAGTGAGATCTTACCCCTCAATGACTCGGGACTGCTAGCACGACTTGCGCCGAGGCCCTTACTGCCTATAGGAGTTGGACTGCCTGCCCTGGATCCTTGAGGAGTTCCGCCTTGTGATGTCGCTGCAGGTGGGTTAAGCTTCAATTTCTTAATTTTTCCGCTTTCACTCATCTCCCCTCCAGAGGCGGCCCCCCCTCAGCATCGCTAACCGATCCCGCGCCACCTGCGACGTTCCGGATGCGTTTCTTACCAACCTGTACCGATGAAAAATGAGTACAATTAACAGACAGTTACGGTTGGAGAAACTCACTTGTCCTGGAGGCGCAGTTGGCGACAGGGCACGAGAAGTTGGCTGGGGCGTAAGCTGAGAAGAAGGATGCTTGCTCTTTGCCTTTTTGCGAGAGGTATCTGTGCCACTTGCATCTGATACATTTGGAGACCCAAGCCGTTTCCGCGACGCTGCACCTGGGCCCTTCTTCAAGGGTTCAGTGTGCTTCGGACGGCCAGATGGGGTAACATTTCCCCTTGTCGAGGGAGCTGAATCCTTCTTATTTTTGTCCTCTTCAGCTTTTCGCTCCTCTTCCCGTAATCGTTCAGCTTCGCTATCATCAGAGCTCTAAGTTGAACGTAACCTCATTAGCGTAACTGTGTAACCAAATAAGATCCAAACGAACACACCTCTTCATCAGAGTAGGGGTTGACATCAGAGCCACTGCTATAGTCGTAATTCTTCTCTCGTTTTTTGAGGGCTTTGCGGACCTTCTTGCCCAGTATACGGCGAGCTTCCCGTTCTCTCTTTTCCCTGAGCTCCTCTTCTTCGTACTCTTTTTCATCCTTCAAATCGAAGACATTTGCCTTCAACTGATCTTGTTTGATCCGCTTTTCCGCTGCCTTAGTCTCCTCGTCTTCGTTGAAAAGATCATCATGCTCTTCATCATCTGCAAATCGATCTTCTTCAAAATCCATTTCATCGGCTTCCAGGCCGTCAGCACCTGCTGGGGTGCCTTGTTTACCAGCGTAAACCTTCCGTTGTTTTGCGAATTGTTCCAATTCCTTACGCTGTGCTTGCTCTTGTTGCTTTTCCATAAACCACCTGGGATCTTTGATTTTTTTTGCCATAAATCGTTCCGCTTCTTCAATGGTTAGAGCTCTGAATTGGCTCTTGGCACCGAATTTATACCATTTCTCTACTGGTATCATCCTCATCCTGCCGTTCTCGGGCATGAATACGGCATGTGTTTCAGAAAGAGCGGCTTCGTAGTTTCCCACCCAGATATTCTTGTTGTCAAAGTCCTCGAGATGCCAAGGTAAAGCCTCTTCGTATTTAATCCGTGCTCTGGCGACCTCTTCAGGTGTCATATCTGTCTTCGACACTTGCTGCGTCTTTTGTTTCGGAGCATTCGCCCGCTTGGGTGCTGACCCCATGGAAGGGGCTATTTGGGCCAAATTTTCGGCACGCTCTTTTTCTCTCGCGGCCTTTCTAGCTTCGAGCTCCTCCCTCTCCGCATCACCTAACTGGTGACTAGATTGAGGCGTCAACTTCTGTGTTTGGCCTTTGTCCTGATTCATCTCTTGCGTCTTTGCTCTAGGGTCTCGACGTTGAAGTCTGACAGGTCGAGTAAATTGAGACTCATCACGAGGATCGATAGTCTTCTTGGACGCGAAGCGAGCAATGTGATGTTTCAAGCCTTCTCGCAACGATCGCTTCGTGATCACTATGGGATAATCCACATAAGTCTCAGACATTAAAGGACCGCTGAAACCATTCACTGAGAAATCATTTTTGGGGGGCCGGGGGCAGCTTTCTCGGCTTGGGTCGCGGGCGTGATATTGGAAATTGCTGGAGGAGCTGTTGTTGGTTTTGTGGCTATACCAACAGAGGAAGCCGAAGTGGCTGCCGGTCGTGCTATAACCCTCTTTTTTGGCCTGACTAAAGGGTCTGCAACTTTAGGACGACGAAATCGCATCGGTGGAGCTTTGTGAGCGCTTGTGTGAGTTTGTGAGTTTGCATCACTGGCAGGTAAAGTCATAGTGATCTATAATTCAACTGCGCCTGCTGAGATAATATTTAGGTTAAGAGAGATGTCAGTAGTGCTATTAACGAATAAGCAGGAACAACTGGGATTCTGTTTATGCGCAGGTAATAAGTGAGAGGCTGATAAGCTACCTTTCACCAGAGGCAACAGGAGGTGATGTGATGTATGGTCTTTATGATTACATAATCAAAGCTTATCAGATTACCATTCACATGACTGGGTTGTAGATAGGGAAGGCCTAAGAAGACCAGGGCTAACTTCCTTAGCAGGGAGTACCACATAGATCTTTGTACCCCTTACATATCTAGAAATTGCATGACTAAAGGGAGAAGATACTCCATACCTATGGTTCGTAACTTCGTAAGACCTGATATAGCTTACACCAGGTACCTACAGGTATCTCCTTAAGAGTGGGCAACCATAAGAGAATGTCGAGGTTGCAAACTCTTTGGCCTGTAAATTGGGAGTACAGAATAATACATAGACTTAATCATTACAGAGCAGAGAGTGGTTCTTTAGCGCATATAAAGCACTATAACCCATAATAACTACATGAGAGACAGAATATTTTTTTTTCCTCTGGTCGTACAGAGGTACTGTTGTAATGATCTCTATGTAGATCAGTCCCGTGGCGAAGAGGCTAAATCACTCCGGTCTGCCCCTAGTTTCTCAGGGTATTTCTCAACTTCTTACATATTAAATAATGCCATGATTTAACAATCTCGAACCGTCGCTTTTACAATATCCTTGGAGATCATAAGAATTGTGGTCATCACTATAACAGAGATGATTCCGTCTATATCCAGATGTTCATCACGCCTCGATTGTATCTTACCTCCCAAAGGCCAGATCAGGAAATAGCTTCTTCCTCACAATTCAAGTCCCTAAAATTTCATTCAATTACTGGGTGGCAAGCAGACACAGTACAAACCAAAAGAGCTACTGATATGTTGTTGGTGCATCAAGCTGGCAGTGTCCGTGTAGGAGAAGCAATCAGGTTCGTCTTTTGTATCACATTATACATCTCCTTGGTCCCACCAGGTGTAGTTCCAATATACTCTACTCATGATACTAATCTGTTGTTCTCGAACAGATACACAGTGACTTACACACCAGTAGCTGACAATGCCCATCCTCTACCAGATGTGCTACATGTCAAGGTCAGAAACACTTCTGCCATCGCTCTGCGGGCTGCGTACCTGCATGGGCCATATACTCTTTATGCCTCCTGCTATCCTTCCACATTTGGCCCTCATGCCCATTCCCAGGATGAGGAAATCGAGGGGATCCCTCAGTTTGAACCATACCTTAAGGCAGGAGGGAGCTGGAAAGCAATGATCCCTATACCGAAACGCCTGCATCGAATTCCAGAGACGTCCGCATCACCCGACAGCATTCAAAAAGTGACATGGGTTATCGAGATAATATCGCAGGTCATTTTCTCCACCACAGCTATTGTCAATTATGAGCTACTCATCGGCCGTGACGAGGAGTCAGTTGAACTCCCCTACAGTGGCGGGTTATCGGTCGGCAGGCTTCACCCGGCAGCTCACTTACAGGATCATGTAACGCCCACAACGAAAGGCAGGCAAGTGGTTGCTGCGAAAGGCGTTTTTTCGAAATCGGTTTGTTTGCGTATAGATGACACCGCCAGTCTCTGGAATACGCCTCCTTTTCCATCTGAACACGATGCCGTTGACCACACTGGATCTCCGTCGAATATCCCACCAGCGAACAGAGAATCAGTGGAAAGGGCCAACCGACTCGACACCACTCGGCAAAACTGTGCGCGTCGAAAAAAAGTTCACCTTGTCGTACTTACACATGGTCTGCACAGCAACCTTGGAGCAGACATGCTTTACTTGAAGGAAAGCATTGACGCTGCAACTAAGAAAACACAGAAAGGGGCATCTTGCAAGTTGAGACAAAATTTGGCTCCGCAGGTGCCGAATGGAGTCTCTTCTCTAGATCGGTAAGCTTCGGAATTACTTGCGTTAAGACAATTATTTTTTATCCGGCTACCCGTTTGACCCTTCTGACTTAATGTTGGCTGAAGTTCCGTTCGCGATGATGATTCGGCCGATCAAGACGATATCGATGACGAACAAGTCATAGTTAGAGGTTTTGCTGGTAATGCAGTACGTACTGAACGCGGAATACAATATCTCGGCAAGCGACTTGCGAAATACGTCTTGTTCATGACATACCCAGATCAACCCTACAGACCACTCAAACAATCTAGATCTAAAACGTTCACTGAATCACTCGGTGCATGGAAGAGTGTGAAGGAAAATGTTTTTAACGATCCTTCTGGGTCTCGAACGCCTGCAGATGAGGCAGAAGACGAGCATCGTTACTACCAGATTACGAGTATTAGCTTTATCGGGCATTCTCTTGGAGGTTTGGTTCAGACGTATGCCATTGCATACATTCAGAAACACTCGCCTGAATTTTTTAATCTGATCCGCCCTGTCAACTTCATCGCTCTAGCGACACCTTTCCTTGGGCTCAGCAATGAGAACCCTATGTATGTCCGCTTTGCTCTCGACCTCGGCCTTGTCGGCCGGACAGGCCAGGATCTAGGGTTAAGCTGGACTGCTCCCAGGGTACGGAGCGGGTGGGAGGCGGTAATCGGCGGCAGGGGTACTTCTACAAAGCCACGGGAACATGTAGATCATGGCCCTAAGCCTTTGCTAAGGGTACTTCCCTGTGGTCCAGCTCATGAGGCGCTTTCCAAGTTTGACCGTCGCACGGTCTATTCAAACGTGGTTAATGATGGGATTGTGCCTTTGCGAACTTCGTGCCTATTATTTCTTGATTGGAGAGGGCTGGAGCGCGTTGAAAAGGCAAGAAGACAGAACGGCCTTGTTAGCACAATGGCGGAATGGGGATGGGCAGAGTTGACCGGTGCTAATTCGGTCTCACTTCGGTCACCTCATTCTCCTATCGATAGCAATGCGTCGCCCGCCAGAATTGATTATCGCGATAGCGGCAGGATCAATTCTCCGTCAGAGGAGGTCCAACAACAAAGGCAAGCTGAGACAGTCCAAAATGCTTCCATTGTTGATTCTCCGGTCTTATCCATTGGCGAACGCGCAAGCCATCCGCCGCAAGTAGAGCTAGGCGGCTCAAGACAGAATCAGGAACCTAGGATATCTTCGATTCAGCCTTCGCTCAACCCGCTGAGCGCGTTTTTCTCGATTTTTCGGCCGAAGAGAGGAACAACTGTATCATCTAGGCATAAACATACAAAAGTCTACAAGCGGAGTCAGACTCTGAGTACCACGTCTGACTTCGCCCATGCGTCCACCTCTACACCGTTTCCCCTTGAAGAACCTCTTTCGCGACACTCTTCTTGCGAGGAATACGGGCTTAACGCTCCCCCAAGAACCACATTTTTCGAATCAGCCGGAGATCTTCTCATGCCACCTCTACCACCGGTTCAGTTTATTGTTAATCCTGCCTCCAGGCCAAAGACAATCTTTCACGACCGTATATATTACCCCGAGGACATACCTCCTCCTTTGTCTGCCAAGCGCAAGACCTCGCCATTGAGCTCTTTTGAGAGTAAGCCTTCTGATGGTCCGCGGGATTTAGGCTGCGATGAAAGACGCTCTACCAATGACGGAAATGCGATGCCCGGTGGTCTGAAAGTTGAGGAGAAAATCGCCAGGGCTTATCACCGTGGAATGTCATGGCGCAAAGTCCTTGTTCGCCTTGAACCAGATGCCCACAATAACATCATCGTGAGGCGAATGTTCACAAATGCGTACGGCTGGCCCGTAGTGAAGCATCTCGTCGATACACACTTTCGACAGGATTCCCTGAACGAGAGTCAGAAAAGGCCGGGAGAAAGCGTCCAGGAGGCACATATACCTGTAGGGACAGCTTGCGATACGGATGGTGGAACTCAGTCCTAGGCTGGTTTGTTGGATGAAGAAACGACTTCAACCTGCACCTCATACGGCGCCGGCCAATTTCTCAGCGATGCATATCTAAGCTACTCGACCGGTGAGAGCATCGCCAGTCCGCAGTAAGCCCTTCGACCAAGGCCAGAACTCATGAAGGGGTGAAAATAGCACCGTTGGCGCGCAATCAAGCCGTCAATAGCTAGGGTGGAGAGTCAGACTATCATTTGATAACGTAGACCAAAATGCCGGTAATTGCAAGCCGGATGTAGGCATCTAGACTACAGGACACAGGCATGCCGGAGAATACCTTAGGTATGCTGAGTTTTACATATTGCCAAACTGATGTGTCATCGTGTCTGAGATGTACATTGTAACATGATGGTGGGAGTCTTTCTCCCTCATTAGACTACTCAATATTGTCAACCACTTTCCTCGTTTTGTATTGAGAGCAAGGCTTGCGGCAGCCGGAGACCGGCAGGGCGTGCTTGAAAGCGCCCAGCTCACTATTCAAATCAATACTCGAGATGGCCTTGTATATGCTCCCAAAACTCCTCGATGAGCTCCTTCTGTCCTGCTTGATTTGGCGATCCTCGGACTGCGAGATACTTTCGCCCATCAACGCTGGCTTCCCAGTTGCCAGGGTTGCCGTCAACGATTATACCGCCAGCTTCTGTCAGAATGACCCAGCCAGCGCAAACATCCCACGCCCAGCAACCACCTTCCCAATACAAATCGAGATTCCCGCATGCGACGGCGCAAAGATTTAATGCAGCTGAGCCCATGCTACGCATTGAACGTACCATTGCACCACCATCATCCTTGGTTTTACCGAGTTTTTCAAATGTCCGTATCTTCGTCGCCCAATTCTTGCCTGCTCTCTCCGAACCCCACTCAACGCCGATGAGAGCATTCTCTAGGCCATTCAATGGCTCAAGGCTCCTAGCGTCGAGCGGAAGTTTAGTGTTGCGATTTAAATACGCCCCTTCTCCACGAATGGCGGAGTAGAGGGTATTGTTGAACGGATTGTAAACAACACCAACGACCGGTTTCCTGTCGATCGCAAAGCCGAGAGAGATGCATGCATATGGGAATCCGTGCACAAAATTGACTGTACCGTCGATGGGATCGACGACGAATGTGGGGGCATCAGTTAGTGGACTTGCAGGGTCATATGTCTCCTCGCCATGAAATCTATAGTGGTGGACTGTTAGCTCTTCTCATCGCTAATTGAGTGAGAGTGACCTGAAATAAATAACCAACTCCGTAATCATCTCTTTGGCCTGTTGGCGAACATTATAGAAGGGGTCGTATATGACTTACTGGTACTGCGGATATCTCCCTGCTAACGCTGTAGATATCATTTTCTCAACCGCACGATCATATTCAGTGACGAGATCTGCGGCTATGGAAGAGGTGAATACCTTAAACCCAGCTGGGCACAGACTGGAAACTCACTGTTCTTCTTTGACCCTGTACTTCCTGTGTTCGGCAAGGCATTGGTAATGATTTCTCCAGCCTTGGAAGCTAGTTCTATCAGAAAATCATGTATATCCTTGAGGTCAATTGTTTCTGCACCCATGTTTCTATTCTTCCCTCTTTTGTAATCTGCGAAGAGATGACTTGTTTGGCTTTACGCCCTGGAAAGAAATCTAACTGGATGTTCTTTGATGATTTCGAGCCCCGCCGTTAAAGTTCGTCTGTCAGAATGGTCGACTTTAGCGTAATGAGCCATCCATACATATGGAGTTGAACACATTACTATTCTGGCCCACTTCTACTTACCTTGACTACAGAGGGTCCAACCCTTACGCGCTTCTATTTGCTGAGGGAACATGAAGACTCCATACTGTTTCATCAGTTTGATGATCCTATATAAGTTGCTGGCATACATTCACTACGCTACCTAGAGTTGTTTTCTTGTACCCGCTTTTATGAGGAAAAGGGATAAGATTCGTTAGATGTAGGATTCATCCGAGTCTTGAACCCTGGAAGAATTAAGTCTGCTTGCAAAGCTGCCGAGTATTAGTAAACATTCGAATTTATTTAAACCATATTTAAGGAAGGAAACAGCGTAAGGCAATCTGTATACCGGACCAGAGGAGGGGTAAGTTATAATTTCATAACCCCACACCAGTGACGTCGGAGAAAGTCCCCGCACCAAAAATTTTCCCGTAGATAGATCTAATACTAAGGTAGCATGTATCACTCCACTTACCTGCAATAACAGCGAACGAACGAGGGAAAAGAGAGGAAAAAGGGGGAAACAAAAAGTCTTAGCTTCAGTCTATAGACTCTACTGTCTGTTCTTTGTTTTCCCGGTCCCTGGAATTCCACTTCAGTATGCCAACAGTCTTAGAAGAGGTGAGTCTGCGAGGTCCTAACTGTTAGCTGGGGAGATGGGAACAAAGAAATTTCAGATGGAAGAGAAGGAGAGGAAACTCTCTAGCAATGAAAGCAAGCAAAATTGGGGACCCTTTTATGGAAGGATTAGGGAAGCTAATCAGTCTTTATCTCTCCATGGATACAGCTTGTTGAGTTCCTCCACCATGGAAATACTCAGATAAGACAAATTGGTAGAAACGTCCCTCTCGATCAGGGAGCCTGAGCACTCAAACATCAGTTGAATGGTCTAACGCTTGCGTCCAATTTAGCATGCGAAAACCTCGTTGGCTTCTCGACCGCTCAATCGGACCTCTTCAAACGTCATCAGCTTCTTCCAGTGCGCGATCTCAAGCTTCTGGTTCGAGATTATACTGTTAGTGATGAGCTTCTAAATTATCGAATTTGGGAACAGACTTGCTGAAATTAACTAGCCAATCGCGAAAAATGCACTTACAATTCTCATCAATATCTGTTCTGACCAGGAAGTATTGGCAAATCTTGCGGAAGATGATGCGTTTATAGAGACTCTCATGGTGAAGATAACGGTGAGTATACTAAAGTCTTCTTTCTGCGACGCTTAAGGAGATCGGGGTCTATGCTGACAACTCGGTCAACAACCTGAAAGGACGTCAAGGAACCAATCGCGGATGACATTGCTATGCTCTTCGCCAATCTCGCCAAGTCAGATAAATTGAGCCGGCTCATTACGTTGAAACGGAGGAATGCCGAATCCGTTTCCACGTCTACTATGGCGATCGATCAACTGATGGATTGTTTCGTGAAAGGCGCTGAGGGTGCTTTAAATAAGAAGGCCAATTTTGATTATCTCTCCTATTTATTCGCCGATCTCTCTAAATCCGAGGCAGGGCGCGCATATTTTACCACCCGACAGGATTATGACGGTGTTGTCCCTGTCACTAAATTGACTGTCTTCACTGAGCATGAAAGTACAGTTCGGAGAAAGGGGGTGGCGTCAACGATCAAAAATGTCGCTTTCGAAATTCCGTTTCATCCGACTCTGCTCTCCGCAAACGAAGCCAATCTACTTCCTTACGTGTTGCTGCCGATTACAGGGCCGGAGGAATTCAGCGAGGAAGAGTCAATGGCAATGTTGCCAGACCTGCAGCTGCTACCCCCAGATAAGCAGAGGGATAGTGATAACAGCATCATTGTAACGCACCTGGAGACATTGTTACTGCTGACAACGACACGAGAAGGTCGTGACAAAATGAGGGCTATCAATGTGTATCCCATCATCCGGGAATGTCATCTCCATGTTGATGATGAAGGTGTGCGCGAAGCCTGTGACAGGCTAGTCCAGGTGCTGATGCGTGATGAGGAAGGAGAGGAAAATGCCAACCAAGCTCAAATTGAAGGCACAAGTTCTATCTCTTCATATTCAGATATCCATATACAGCAAGGGTCTGCACAGAATGATGACGAGAAGGTTGTGGAATTGTTCTAATATGAATGGCATTTCTTGCTGTGGGATTCATTAGGGGACATCAGCTGCTTATATTGTGAATACAGTACTAGCTTAACTACTGATCCATTACTCATTGTGCAATCAGCTTTTCCCCTTAAATTTAATGCGGCTATTTTCTGGCAAGAGAACAGGATTGCACCCTAGCTATCCACTAAACATATTTATCTAAACACCTTGCCTTCCCTATGCGCTTATAGTTCGCCTCTATGATTGAATGCTCACTAAGATGTCTTGCTTAATCATTAAACTTACAAACCTGGTAAAGTCAGGAAACTCCCATCATTTAGAGATTAAGAAATCATTGCTATTGTCACCATAATTAGCATCCTGTGCCCCGACTGCATCCAACAATTAGGGACAAGTTCACCGACCCGAACCCGAAGAGCAGTAGGCTCTGGTTGCCATAGTCACCTTGGGTTGACTTTGTGTAAAGACGCTTCTGTACAGGTGCGGCTGTATTTCTGCTAGAATCATTGACCGCCGTTCAATCCTGGAAGTGCGGCTGCCATGCCCAGTGGGCTACTGAAGACTGCATAAGAATGGCTAGTAGCGTCATAGATAGCACAAAGTAGTTTATGGGAGCATTTCCAGAATTGATAATAAGTATCCCGTGAATCAGACTAGTACATGTTCCCATATGCTTCTATTCTCACGGCCAGCCTGGATGTACACGAATGCCTAACGCCCGATGTAAGTGAAGACCGCCACCCGTGGTCATTCGAATATTTTCTCTGATGCATATGTATCGAGGGCACTCGGCGCCCTCGGTCCCACCCCCTATCATTGATCTCGTTGAAGACACCTTGTCAGGTCAAGACGAGTATATGGGAAATCACTTGAACACATGGTGTTCAAGCCATCAAACCAGTATATTTACGCGACCCGTAGATCCTTTCAGCACTTCCATCCAGCCGTCTTCCTCAATGATGACGATTTTCCCATCTATGCAAACTCGCCTCCACTTCTGCTCAACCTCACGAAAATCGATTCTGAAGCCTTCAACTTCCGTGTAGAGGACGCTGCTTTCGTGTACATGCCGGCCCCCATCATACGCGAGAGACATTAGTTGCATGGCCTTTTCTGCGGAGACGGCGCCAAAACGGATTATTCTCAACCTGCCATCCAATGCAACCGACTCCGGCGAGATGAGAAAGTCTTTCTCGAGCCTTGGAACGAGTGTAGCCAGTACGTACATGTGTTCTCCGCATTCTAGGGTGTCCAGGGAGTTTTCATTGGTCGCTATGTTAGACCGGAATAATGTGATATTACCTTTATACCTGTGCGTCTCGACGCCGCTAGAAGGGAAAAGGAGCTCCTTGGCTGCCATCTGGAACCTCTCGGCTCCGAACCTTCTATATTCCGAAGTGTCACTGTCAGCAACTAAGGCAGCGTGGAAACCCCAGCTCGCGACAACCACGCCGTGAATTGAATTCACTGAGGACTGGGTCATGGAGCTATCAAGCATAGGAATCAGAGTGTGACCCTCATCCGTGACATATTGCACACCAGGAGAAAAATTAGCGACTAAGGTGGGTATAGGTTTCGGTGACCCTTTCAGCAGGACAGTCAAGCCTGCTGTCGGGCGAGAGAGCAGCCCTAATGAGCTTGCCATGGCATTACCTGTCCCCATCGGTATCAGAGCGACGATTGGAGGAACAAGTGAAACACCGACAGCACCATGGAATGAATCGACAATATCATTCAGGCCACCATCCCCAGAAAGAAGAATAATTGTTTGTGTAAAACCAAGTTTTGCACGACCAATAAGCCTTGATTGACAGAGTTCGAGTATAGATTGCGCTGATTGTGTCTCATGGACTTCATACTCTGTCAATCCGATATGTGCCAAGAACGGTTGTACAATGTTTTTGAAGAAATTCTTAGCCTTCCCGGTCCCTGAGGGAGTCGAGATAATGACATGAAGATCAATCACCTGGTCCACCGAAGGCTTGAGATGTTGGGGAAGTTCCGCACAGAAATATCGTGATAGTAGCGTTGATGGTGGAGAAACCAATTGTATACTTGCCAGAGAAGACCCACAATCTCCCGGAGGAACAGAAGTCGCCTCTTTTCGACCATTTCGTAGATAGAGCATGTTGTAGTTCTTTCCATCCTGGCTAGCATGCGGTAGGATGCAGATCACATCATCTATGGCAATCCTAAGCTCCCTCTGCCCCTGAAGTTCACTGCATTGAATGGCGCCATTGGAAAAATTACAAGAAAATTGCGAGGCATCAGCCCATATAGCATCTGGCAAGGGTTCCATTTCTCTATTTTAGCACCTGAATCAGTAGGTTTCCTACTAGAGGCGACATGATCCAACTTACGTTGCTCAGGAAGGAGGGTTAAGATGTGGCATTGAATAATGGTGGGAAAGACTGCTTCTGCGAGCAAGCAACAGCATGGCGGGGTGGGGGGAAATGAATGATAATATTATTACACATTTATTACCTCTTATCCACCCGGGCAGCAACTTGTCATTACTATTACAGTAAGCCTCACCTGAAATGATGGGTAGCCTAGCCCAAAGGTAAAGTACTAGGTACTAAGTTATCTGTGCCTTAGGAGCGCACCCACACTGGTTCCTGGTGTGGATACACTATAGCATAACTTCCAACCACAGCTTAGTTTCCATGTACCTTTTATATGGTATTGCCATATAAAAGGTACATACTCCATACATTAAATATTCAGGCATTCACTTAGGGTAAGTATATTTTAGTTTAGATAGTGCAAAACTCTTAAAAGGCTTTTAATTATAAGATCTTCGCTCTTGAAATTTTAATACTAACTAAAATAGAGATCTAAGAGTGTGCAAAGTTTCCCTCTATAAGACTTTTTTTTAGAGAAAACAATAATAAGAGATTATATTATCTTAACACTTACAATTTTCCTTTCTAATAATCAAGATAGTAATAAAGGATAGACACTTGTATATATATCTAACTAATAATAAAATATAAAACTAAATGTGTATATACATAAGGTAAATAATCAGGATGTACCTTTTATATGGTGATGCTATATAAGAGGTACATAGAAATTAAGCTGTGGTTGGAAGTTATGCTGTGGTGCACCCGCACTGCATCTGCACTGTGGGAGCACATGGCATAGATAGACATACCCAAGGGCCCACTATCTAGACTACGTACAGAGTAAGCTTATTTTTAGATTAAACGTAAGGTCGCCACCCCCTTACCTGACCAGGCAGGTAACAGACTAATAGCCATGTGTAATGCCCATCCTAGGATACTACTACCCTTGAGCCTGGCTCTAGGATATGTGAATTGAAATCTCATTTCTGGCAAATCACATACATAACTGTTACCTGCCTAATTTGGTGCGGGATTTTGCTGGAACCTAGGGGTGTCCCGATGTCATCATCAAGTGGTCTTGCCAACTTGCTGTATCACCGACGACTTGCTACCTATGTCCTGTTAGTGTATGTAAGTTAGACTCGTGACCTAAACTGCGACCAACTTTAGCAAATGTAACTGCTCATGAACATGATAACATACGCCTCTATTTCTCTACCTGACCACGTACATCACACTCCTGATTTGCGGTCAAGTGAATGGTTGTCATTATTTTACATTTCTCGTCACATACAGCTGGGCAAACCTATGATTGATAACTGGACACATGCTTATCGCTCAAATTTACGGCAATGAAAGTCTTGGGAAGTTTAACCCTATAGAATTCTCATCAGTCGTTGGCCCTATAAAACGTAGAGGGATGAAGGTGGGTTGTGAAACGCACGTGTCGAATTTCGCTTTGAGGGTTTCAATGACCTCTTTCCAATCCTGATGGGCGGTTAGGCTTCTTCTCGGAGCGCAACCAATCGCATGCCGCGAGTCGAGTTGCACATCCAGCGGATCAAAAGCGTGGCAGCCTGGACTGATAGAGATACGGATTGAATAGGAACTTGTGGATGATTCACAATCCTTAGCCTCGTACAGCTCGAAACAGATTTGTGATAGGTAATCCAATTCAGGTATAGCGCTTCTGGCTATCTTTGTCTGAATTCCGCCCTCGATGATGCAGTTCAGGAGGGTATAGATATGGGACTCCTTAGTGAAGTAAAAAAACGATTTCGCATCTGGAGACGCTTGGACTTCTTCGAGGTCTCTGACGATCTCTTGAAGAAGGGGTAAGGACGTCAACAAGCCTATTTCCAGTTTTTCAGAGTCGGTAATTCCGTACTCCTGAGGAGTCACATAGTCAAATAGAACTTTGGCCAATTTGTATAACTCCCGAAGTTTTGAGAGTCGTCCATCCATTTTAGTTTTCGTAGGACTAGAGCCTGGGTACAGCTTGAAATAGTGATCATACGAGTCGTCAAGGGCTCTTAGATGCGGTAACGAGTCGAATGCATGTGCTCGCTTCTTGAATCGGAGGAGATGTGACAAGGTCGGATTTTCCACGTTTTCCTCCATTCCTTCGCTTGTTAGACTGTCATGTTTGTCCCCAACAAGATCGTGACGGTTAGTATTATTGGAATTGGAGCTGTGCCGTTCATGCTCGTTGGTCCCCTCATCTGGGGCATGAACACCCACTCAAGAAAGTGTCTGTTGTGGAGTGCATCAAATTTCATGCTGTCGTACAATTCGGAAAGTTTGCTCGGGTCAACCTTCTCCGTGTCGCAAAATTCTGCAAAGAGCTTTTCCCATCGTTCTTTGAAGAGCATGGGATCTTCACCAGTACACCACCGTCCCTGGATAGAGGAAAGGGTTGCGCTATCCGCGTCCTGAATGACATTCTGAGAGGTAGAATTGTCACTTAGGGGAGATGTCGATGAAGGACAATGTGGAGAATTGTTAAGCTTCCCAAAATTGTGTCTCATGATATTTCGGTGAAATTTCATCAACTCAACAACAGTAGCGAGAACAACCGATGGCTCAGGGATGTTATCCTTGGGCCAAGTGAACTGTGAAGGTGCAGATCCTTCGCGCAAGAGAAGTTTCAGCTTCTTTTTCACCTTATCCATAACATCTTTTGCAGCGTTGGAGTCATCCAGAAGGTCCTTTCGCACTTGAATAAAATCATCCGGGAGCTCCTTCTGGTCGAGAAAAGAACACGCCCAAATTTGAGCTACATTAACTCATAAGCTTGACACCGGACAGAAACGTGCTTTGGAAAAGACTTACCGCTAGTACTCACTCTTCGCTCCGAGCTTGTAAAGATCCGAACATTATTCAGCGCCTCTTTGTTCATCAATTTCAGATCATCGCGCATATTGAGACCTAGATCTTGTGATTGGTATCTTGCGGCGTGGGTTGGCTCTCCACCCCACTTGATCACAAGTTGCAGCTTGTCTAGGATGAGATCGTTCTCGGCAGCAGAAAATCTTGAGAATGTTGTGCCGGATATTGAGTCACTGCGAGTAGATGTTCGAGGAAATTTTTCCTTATCCCCGTTGGTATCATCGGCGATTTGGGTCCAATTAGTCTGCGCTCCGTCGCTGTTCGAGTTCTCTGAACTATGCGTGCTCAATTCCTCCTGCGTTCGCTTGCGAAACATAGGTTTAATTTGAACCTTCGTTCCAGGCCAGCCACCTTTCTTCTCCAGGGATGTTCGAAGCAGTTTGAGTTTTTCCATATCTTCCAGTTTCTGATCCATTGCAAGTCTGACAGCCTCCGAGACGTTAGCCAAGGCTGCCTGTCCTTTGATCACCACTTCTTCTTGATGGCCTTTCAACAAATCAATAAATGGCTGGCTGTGGAAAGTGAACTTGAACTTTTGCTTTGGCGTACGATCCGCATGCCTTATGACTGCAACCATGCCCTTAAGCTTCCAGGAATGTTTAGATGCTGGAGGTGGAGGTGGCGGGATCGTTTCGTCGGGATGGCCGGTCAACTCTGGGGTCTTCGGGTCGAGATCACTTATATCTGAATCGATCTGGCGCGCATCTGGGCTCGTTCGACTTCTTTTATGGTCCATAATTTCTGCTCCACAGGATGCTGGAGGTAACGCCGCAAGGTCCTGGAAACTATTGTCGAGGCTCTTATGACTGCCGTAGAGTTTGGACGTGGATGGAGATTTCAACAAGGTTTTCAAGGTATGCCTGTGAGATACAGAATGCCTCACATGATGGCTTGTATCCGGTGAAACCATTTCTAGGGACCTTTGTATTCCCTCGCGTTTGCGCTTTTCATTCAGAAACATGTCACTCAGAATACTGGCACATTTGTCGTAATAGTCATTGTTGTCCTTGACGAAACTCCATCCATTAACGTCGATCACGTAGCTCCTATCACCGACTCGAAGCATATCGAAGCCGCAGATCCTTTGGCCAAACCCATTCGAGATTTTTGACGCAATTGCTGCCTCATCCTGGCTCAATTTCGTTATGTACCTGAGTTCTTTCCCGTGCGTGTTCCGGCGAACGACTCCATCGACCACGGGCGACTTGCGTGTCTCTGCATGGCAAAAATCTGGCCCGACTGTGTAAGCCTTGACATCTTCAGAATTGTCAACCCTTAGAAATTGTTCGTAAATGTAGCTTGTGTCTTTTTCCGTCACTGATCTAGGCACCACAAGATGAGGATCGTATTCGGAGCTTTTGTTCCCGACTTTCCGGAAAAGCCTCCTGCCTCCTCCGCCATACTGTTGATCGTTAGGGAAGTATATATGGATGTTGTGATTTTCACCGTTCACTGGCTTTTCGACAAAGGGTTTTCTGATAGATTTTCCATCCACAATCAGAGCCTCACCGTCCTCAGACATTGTTACCACCTGAGTTTTCTGAGAGCCTCCTCCAGTCCCATCTTCAGGGCCCTCGAGCTTGACCCCCGTTAACCTGTAAACGTGCTGAGCAAGCTCCGGAGATTCCAACATTGGTCCGCCGTCGCGATTGACCTCTAATCTCTTCGGCGTGGGCACATTCATATGATCCAGAATTCGCAGACACAGTCGTCGGTCCCACAACACTTTCTGCATGGGTAAGTCATTCACGCAAAACGGTTTTCGAAGCCTCGCGTAAGCGATGGCCTTCTCCAGGGGGAAGCCGTCAGAAAAGAATGCAATCAGAAAGTCGCATACAGGCCAATTCTCTACAGCCTCATCGAGAATCACCTTGTCACCGAAAACAATCACTTCAAAACCACCCTTGGCTTGCAGGCGGGTTAAAATGTTCTGACTAGGTTTGCTGCGCGCTTTCACATCCAGAGCACAGACACCAATCCTGCCAATTCTTGAGGGGCCGGTTTCAGCGTCACTGACTGAGCTGGTAGCTGTGCTGCCACTAAGTCTCCTAGGCGTTCGGCTGGAGGAACGAGCTGAACGAGCAACTCGCGCCCCGCCAGCATGATCTGTCATCACATCTGAGGTCTGGGCTTTGTTCTGGTGGAATTGCCCATGACTCGGACTTGCCCTCGACGATGGTGAAACCGGGTCATAAAGGAGGGTGAAAGACGATTTGTCACCAGTCTGATCAGGCACCGTGTTTGGTAAAGGCGTGGCAATCAGTGCGTTTCGCTCGTCACCGCCTGTAGCATAACCAACATCAGAAGAGCAATTATCCGGGCTTGCCGAAGGTGGGAAATCTTGAATAGAATTGCTCTGTGTCATCTTTGAAGGTTGCTCGTGGAACCTGAATTCCAAGACCGAGGCTGTGCTTGGAAGCTCTCATCCCAGATTTCGGTTGCTGTTTTGTAATGTTTGTTCTCCTTTTTGTTTTTATGTATTCAAGCTAGGTTTTCCAAGGAGAAAATGATGTGTAGTGCCTATGAGTTCATCGTCAGCACAATTGGGACTAGAGGGCTCCCTGAGATCTGGTTCCAGATGAAAAGTCAAACTTGGTGAAAAGCCCATTTCGGAAGGTGACTCCGTTTTTTTCTCTCACAAATTTGGATGCACGTTTGGTAGACTTCAATTATTTATGAACCTAAGACCACATCGTCGATCTTCTGCTAGATTGTCAGGATCACTCTTGTCGTCATTACTCGGTGTTTTCTTTTTCTATCAAAGGAAAAAATAAAAACACAAGAAACCCAGCAAACATGCTTGAAAGTAAGCGAAAGACTGAAAATTCCACTAATATCTACTGATATACCATTGCACATTTATTCATTTTTATTATGTATTAACATAGAATAATAGAGAGATATTCCAAACAAACAGGACAATCCTACCTTAAGTACATGTTAGTAATTCTGGAAAACCAACTTTTATCCTAAGAGCTAAGAGCTTTTACGGACTGCGGAGATTTAAGTAGGATTTTGCCAAGGCGGTATTCTAGGCGGACCTGCCGCGTAAAGACAGAAATTTTCGGGACACCACAAAAGTTCGCAGAGTAGAACGGAGCAATATCGAGAGCTCCTACAATCTGAAACTGGCAATACTACTGAGACCTGACGCGAATTAACATGATGCCTTCACTTGACGAGGATGAATTCAGCGTGCCACTTCCGAAAAGGCAAAAGCGCATCCCTGAGCATCAGCGCATCTCAAATTCGCGAAAGACACTTGAGTCCAGAATATTTTCACCATATCGGGTAAGCCAGCACTGAATCAATCATGATTTTTTTCCCTCTAAATGCTCTCCTGACTGATCAGTCATTAGACACTTGGGCTCGTCTCCCCCACAGCTGTTCCTTTCACGTATGTGCGCTTGGGAAAAAGTACTTTTCAAATCACGACCTGTGTGGGCCGCGGTTTGCACACCTATGATCTACGCCGAGGGCTGAGTTTGATTTTCATCAGCCGGCCTCAGACGCCAGAAGCTATAACTGCCACATTTGCATGGCGTGAGAAGGTCTTTGCAGCGTGGGGAAATCTCAAACCAGGGACATGTGGAGGTATATGGGTTTTCAAACGCGGCAAAAAGGTCGCTGCATTAGAGGTGCCTTCGGGCCGAGCTGGGCCTATTACCAAAGTACTTGTTTTTGGCGCTTGGATTGTGGGTTGCACTGGCACCAGCATTGAAGTCTGGAAAAATACGACCTACGAACATTACACGACGTTGATTCCTCGCGGAGTTGAAGCGGCATCCGGAGACCCCATTTACGGCGGTCTAATGTGCAGTATGCCAACGTATATCAATAAGGTTTTCGTTGGAAGGGTTGACGGCTGCGTGGACATTTGGAATGTGAGGACCGGAGAGCTACTCTATACCATTCCTACGGCATGGCCAAGTGTTGGAGCTGTGACTGCTCTGCAACCGACTCCTGTGCTATCTCTCATTGCTATTGCTCATGCGGATGGCTCTTTATTCATCCGTAACGTCGATACCGAGCAGATTATCTTGTCATTGCGCTCGGGTTCCTCGCATATCACATCACTCGCCTTCCGGACTGATAGTCTAGGCGCTGGCGCAGATGGCCAATCCCCGGGTGTCTTAGCGACAGCTTCTGTGGATAGTGGCGACATCACTTTGTGGGATTTGAACAACGCAGGGCGTGTCACGGGCGTCCTTCGGAACGCCCACAGAACACTTCAACATGAAACAGCATCTGGCATAAATTGCGTGGATTTCTTGGATGGCCAACCTTTGTTGGTATCGACTGGGAAAGATAACTCTCTCAGGACCTGGATATTCGATGAGACGCCATTTTCACCTATTCCGAGACAACTTCATTTCAGAAGTGGTCATTCTGCTCCTGTCACTGCGTTGAGTTTCTTGCCCTCAGCAACGGATGGCTCGGAAGCCAATGGTAAATGGCTACTGAGTGCGAGCAAGGACTGCAGTTTATGGGGACTTAGTGTACGAAAAGACAGCCAAAATACTGAAATTTCGCAGGGCGCAGTTGAGAAGAAAGTCAAAAAAATGTCTGGTCCAGTTCCTGTGAACTTAGACATGCAACATCGCACACAGGGTTTCAGAGCTTCAGAGATAACTTGCATTGCATGCTCACTGAATCGCGATGGTGGCATGGGTGTCACCACATCTGGTCCGATTTGGGCTAACCCGAGAGTAGCAGATGCGGCTGCTTCGAATAAGACGGGATGGGAGAGTATAGTCACTGCTCACCGTGGGGACAAGTTCGCCCGTACTTGGTTTTGGGGTAGGAAAAGAGCTGGACGCTGGACTTTTGAAACAAGCGATGGATCTGTCGTGAAGGTGAATGGTTGTCGACAATATGCCACGGAGTATCGCTAACACTTTATTCCAGAGCGTCGCTATCACGCAATGCGGGACTTTCGCTCTTATTGGGTCCAGTATGGGAAGTATCGATGTGTTCAATCTGCAGTCCGGCCAGCATCGGCAGAGTCTCCCGGCTCGCGGTTTGAAAAGTAGGCGAACTGCCGAGCTTGGTTTAGCAAATGGTTCTCAAGAAAAGAAAATCGGACATACAAAGGCAGTCACTGGCTTAGTAGTCGATTCTTTGGACCGGACTGCCATAAGCTGTGGGTTGGATGGGAAAGTCAAGGTACGGTATACGACTCCTCATCATAAATCACAGTTACTGAGTTGCATCAATTTAGTTCTGGGATTTTCATTCCGGGTTACTCCTAGATGAGCTTGATTGGCATCCAATGACAGCAATCACTGGTCTGCGCTATAACAGCAGCAGCGAGTTGGTCGCGTTCAGTTGTGATGACCTCTCGATTCGTGTGGTTGACATTGAAACAAGAAAACTCATACGCGAATTCTGGGGCTGCGTCGGTCAGATCAATGACTTCATTTTCTCCAATGATAGCCGGTGGATAGTGGCTGCTTCTATGGACTCACGTGTCCGCGTTTGGGATTTGTCAACAGGACATCTAATTGATATCTTCCGAGTGCCTAGCACCTGTACCTCGCTATCCATGTCAGCAACTGGGGAATTTCTGGCAACAGCCCATTCGGATAGTGTCGGTATTCGTCTCTGGACGAATAGGAGTCTGTTCATTCCAATTTCGACCCAGAATCTGGACGAATCTGGTTTTGCTGATTCTCATATCCCTATCACATCCGCAGAGGAGAGTGCTGGAGCCCTTGAGGCTGCATTTTCCGAAGATCATCATCAGGATGAGGCGGAGGGGCCCGTGCTATGTGACGAACAACTGAGTACGGGGATGGTAACACTCAGTGCCATCCCCAGGAGTAGATGGCAGACTCTACTCCACTTAGATTTAATCAGGGTACAGTCCCACGCTTCTTCCACCATCTGCTTTATCATTGCTGATTATTGTTAGGAACGCAACAAGCCTAAAGATCCTCCCAAGGCACCCGAGAAAGCCCCATTTTTCCTGCCATCTGTTTCCGAGAAAACGAGCGTTGAAAATAGCGACAGAAGTATGTTGTCGGTTGAACACACGCTCGCCGAACGCTCAAGGATAGTCAGACACCAACGATCTCAGACTGTGGACGACTCTGGCTCTTTATTCACAGTCCTTCTGCATTCCGGTCGTCAGTCTGACGATTTTGCACCCTTCACAGAGTATTTGAAAACTCTATCTCCAGCAAGGACTGATCTGGAGATTCGATCTCTGGATCTGCGCGTACAAGACGGTCATTCTGAGTTGTCTATATTCGTCATGGCACTGACTACGCGACTCCGTCTCAGGAAAGATTTCGAACTTGTGAATGCTTGGATGGCGGTATTTCTGAAAATACATGCTGATATTGTGCGGAAGTGCTCCGAGTCGGCGGCGAATGACCACGGAGAACTGAGAAAATCTCTTGTTCAGTGGAGTGAAGAACAGCAGCGGGAAGCCAAACGCTTGGCTGACCTAGTTGGATACTGTCGAGGCGTAGTGGGATTTATAAGATCATCACGTTAGGATATGTTGAGCTTGAGGACAACAATCGACACTGTTACGTGTAAGGCCATACTTCCTCGTACTCTGGCTATGCTGGTCAGTGGGCTTATTACATGAGCTCTGGTAGCACTCAAAAATATCCGCGAGCTCACGGAACAAGGAAACCAAGAGTGTTCGTGTCACAACGTCTCCAAACTCCTGACATGCATTCCTAATCTATCCAGTGGAATTGTATGCAATATATGTCATCTCGTTAGCTGTTTGTATCTCTTCAGAAATTCACCAGCAGCATCTTCAGTAAGGTACTCATTCACCATCTCAGATCTCGATCTCATCAACTCATGAAGTGGGGGAAGACTCATAAGAGCGTCCTGCATTTTGAGCATGAGATCATTGGCTGTAGTTGTGATCCCAATCAGTTGTCTCATAATTCTCAAAGAATAGAGCACAGCCTGAATCTGCGCCGTAAGGTGTATGTCTGCCCAGTCTGTCCGATCACCCATATAACCAAAAGTAAGGAATCTGCTAAATGGCCTAGCCCTGGGAAGTGGAGAGCCACTGTCCCCCCAACCATATACCTCACATAGTGCAAATATCCTCCATAATTTTGTGGTTGTGGCATTTTCGCCCAGGGCGTCTCCAACTACACTGAGACGTGTATAGAAAGACGTCATTTGATCTGCGATCCAGCCTGCATCACGGATTGCTAGAGTATCCCTTGCAATTCTTCCCCCTCGTCGTACAAACTCATCGATGAAGCGAGATCTCCGAGACGGTGGACGCGAAGCATTAAATACCGAATAGCCCAGAACTCTATATGGCAAGCCGTTCTCCCAAGCGCACCGCCTAGTAGGATCTTCGTTTAGAATTGCGAGATAAAACCGAGGGAATTCGTCCGATGAATTGATTTCTTGGGTTTCATATTGCCAGACCAGCTCTGAGACTCTGGGGTCAAGGTGATGAGAGTTCGCAATTCCCCATTGCGCATGTTCTGGGCCCTTCTTATATTCCTCGGAGAATTCCAAATAGTCTGCAGATGCTTGGGGTCCGAGGGTCTCTTTTGCAAGCCGTATCAGCTCCGTCAAACCTGAATTTGGGTGAAGCTTAAGTTCATATGCTAGGCGCAGTAAATCAGCCAACCCAAAGCGTTGGGCGAGCGATGCTGGATGTAGCTGCACCGCTTGAAGTGGCATGTCTATTGATCGAGCGCTATACGTATTTTCCAATTCTAATGAATGAAGGAGCACGACCGAACCATGCGGCCCGATATCATGAAGTATAAGATCCGAATCATTGGTAAGTACCGCAGATCCTGTGAGTTTCGCCAGGTATGCGCAATGCATATCTGCTTCCCCTGCGACCATGACTGTGACGTCTGCCCAAGGAAAATCTTGTAATGCAGCTGAGTCGGGAAACAATAGGGAGCCCCGCGCAGCTTGAAGGATGTTTTCCTTATTCCATCGATGCTTGAGATCTTCGAAGACAGCTGGTACCATAAAAGGATTGTCAGGGCATTCTCTGTGTTTAGGAGTCAACGTCCGTCCTCGCAGTATCATTTCGAGCTTGATTTCTGTGTCGATAGACGTGTAGTTAAGTCGCAAAGAGCCATAACTGATTCTTTTACGAGCTATCTCAAGCTTTCGTCTTGCCTTTTCGAGTCGTGATAGTCTTGTCTCTCCTTTGTGGGCCGGCAAAGCTCCATCAAAGCATATTGCCTTTCTAGACCATATCAGTCATTATTTGCCTGATCTCCTGCTTGGACGTCATTACATGTCAACTCCCAGGTTTCTTAACTTCAATAGATGTAACATCACCGCACAACTAACTTCGTTGCACGATGGCTGCATATCAGGGAATTCTAGTCGGCTGTCGGACCATCCCAGCAACCTTGAATGGACGTGATAAACCAGACTGGGGCCATCGATCACAACGGATTGAATGTTGGTTCTCCCCTCCTCAGCACTTTGACCACCCTTAAGAAGCACTGCTTCCGAATATGGAAGTAGAAGTTGTGTTAGATGCGGTATACCCATAGCTGAAATGTTTATGTCTCCAAACTATCTGCTTGGGTACTCCCGTTAGGGATACTGAAATTTCAGTTAAAGTCTAGGTAAGTCACTGTTACTGTTGTACATCACAGATATTGAACTGGCTGTGTAAATGTCATGTGATAATTGTGGGTCCTGATATAGCTAAAAAATTGAGCTTACTAGATAGTTAAGTGCATTTGTCTCTACAAGTCAACCACCTAACACCTACCCACATGCTAATAATGGTGAGCGCCCTGTAGATCCTAGACTACACCGGGTGAAGATGGAGAGCGCGAGCCTAGGGAGGTAGAGGAAAAAGAAATTAATGATCATGATATGCACTGTTACTGCCCCACACATGGCATGTAAGAAAAAAGGATATCTCAGCAGGCAACCTTGGAAATGAATGCAAATATCTCAATGCCATCTTATCCCTACATACGAGGGCCAGAACATCACAAGGGAGCTAATGGAAAGGATAATAGAATTTCGACACCGTACGATGCTAATTTCTCTCCACTTAGACAAAGGAAGGAGAAGTCCGTAGCTGCACACACCGCCAGCTATCCAAAGATGCTGGTGGGCTAAGCTAGACGGCCATCCAGGAGAAGGTATGTGATCTCCTGTTATCCAGAGAATAACGATGATAAATTCCAACCAATTATGTTCGATATATTAGGATTCTACTAAGTAGCCGTAGCTTAACTAACTTCAAGAAGTGTAGTCAAAGCAGTGCAGAAATCAATACTCCTCTCCGAAGGCGCCGTTCAGTCGTCAGGATACTCATCTCGAATATTGCTGACAAATGTATGAGAACAGCCATCCCACCGCTTGAAGTGCTTTCCTGCTGTTTCCACAAGCGTTCGCGGTAGCTCAAATAGGTCGGGAGTGATAATTTCGAGATTCTCTTCCGCAACGTAGCGAACAGACTTGTCCTCAGCTCTAGACACAATCAGCAAATGCAGTGAAATAGAGCGCAGTTACCATACAATGCGTGGTAGAAACTTTGGTGCCTGCCGGCTTCCAAACGATCGATGCCCATCCTTCTCATCCACTGTTCGCTCGCATCGCACTCAGTATCCCAACCAGTTATAACAGCTAAGTAACTGTACCGCCGATGGCGGAAGACCTGGCCGATCCTGTACCTTACCGCTTTGCGCTCAGGTGTCCGCCGTTTGACCTGCTTGGGTATCTCATCCACAGCCCGCACAACACGAAGACTCTCAAGTATGTCCTCTTGCTGGAGCGTGCCTTGAAAAAGCGGTACAAGATACTGCTCAATCAAATGGACATCCGAAGGAAAGTCCGTAGCGAAGAGTTCCAAGAACCAAGGTAAGTAGTGCCTAAGTTCCGCCGGCCGGAAAGAGGTGGAAAATAACAGTGACGACCAAAGGGCAGCATATCTTGCACTAACCGCATCGACCGGAGCCAGATGTGCTCTAGAAGTCTGCGAAAGACGTTGAACGGAGTTCATGATGTTTTTGCCACATCGCAACACAGTATCAGCAACCCCAGACGCACGAAGGAACGCCGATTGCTCGGCTGCTGAAGCCCCCAGGAAATTCAGCTGATTTTGCAGGTTCTCAACAGGTGTCTCTTCTGCAGAGCGAAACGGATCCATAAAAATGGGCTCAATCAGCGTCTCGGGCGGAATTGCGTTGCCATCAATGTCCTGACCGCTGGGTGGCATGACTATAACATGAACATGGAAAGGAAACCCACAAGGCCGAGCGTCAAGGTTTATTTTTCGAGCGACGTAGCAGTAGATAGCTGCTGAAATCAAAGGAAGCGAATTATGATCGGGATCATTTATTGCAAACCCTAGGAAATTGTGCTCCAGGCAATGGTAATCCCGGCCCAACTGAATGCCTGTCAAATTGCTTGCTCTGAGATATGTTGCGACAGCTCGGGCCTTCTCACGAGGTGTGAGTATATTTATATTAGGGCAGTATGTGAATATATGCGAGGCTATTTCATCTAGCCTACTCACAATCTGGTTACTGATTAGTAGATGTTTTGCCTCTTTATCCTTTCCAAACTTGAATGTTTTACATACTTCATCCAGGTTCCCGAAACTGCTCTCTGGGATGAAAAGATCAAACGCACCCAAAGCCCTTTCCAGGGACACAGGTCCCCCGTTTCTGAGTTTGATCCATTCTGGGACCGCAATGCTCCGATGGAGACAGGCCAGCAGCGCCCTTGCGTAATACCTTTTGTTGAGATAGCGAACGTTAATCACATGGAAAATGACCAGATATTATCAATGGGAGCGCCACCTTCTGGCCAAGTAGTCCTCTGTGTCTGATCCTGCGGAAATATGGCGTAGTAGAGTATCCTTGATGTCATATCCGAGCCCAATGATGGTTCGAAATCTCTTGATTCTTCCAGTTTGCCCGGCAAGAATACTGTTAAGAAGATGGCATGTCCTGCGATCAATAAGGTGTCGAGAAATGTAGAGTCCTTTCCAGTCTACTGCAGAGGCGGAACTCCTGTAGCTTGTTGTCATATCATGTTTGGGATCCCAGAATTTGAAGTGGGTTTGACAATAGAATCTCCATAGTAGAGGTTCATTCGTGATATTTTGAAACTTACGAGAAGTCTGTCCCAGTGCAGCCGACGAACAAGGGGGCAGTTGCATAGAATAATGTATAGTAGCTCTTCAGGAAGACAATCAAGAGACAAAACCATACCGGTACATAGGGAGGGGGAAAGGAGTAATAATGAAATGGCACCTTTCAGTCTGGAGGAAACCTAAGTAATAGAAGATATATGAGTTGCTAGATTTGCTGCATACTTCTGTTTCTCATCTCTAGAGAGGTATGCCATAAATTTTGAGGTGATATTTCAGAATATATGTAATACATGAAACACCACTGTACCTTACAGAAAATGACCCACTGGGGTTGTTGCAATAATCCATATGTCATATAGGAATGTCCTTAACCTTAAATATTATTATGATTACTAAGGCTAATACTATTCATAGATCACTAGTAATTTATATGGCTAATTAAAAATCAATAAAGGTCTGATTCTTCTAAATAACTAGCTATCAAGCTCCTATTTATGCCTTTTAGTTAGGGTCAGGTTTGAGATATTTAAATATTTAGATACTATTAAATATTCTACTAAGGGTAGTAGTGTAAAGTTAATTCTTATACCTTCTGAATTAGGTAAGTAATAATATAATTTAATATACCTGCCTAGCTAAGCTAGTAGGCAAAGCTGTATATAA